TCAAATATGCGCGTCGCGCGTAGTACTACTACTACTACTACTACTACTACTACTACTACTACTGCTGCTGCTGCGGTACTGCGGTACTGCGATGACAACTGTCATCGCCATCCGCACTTCCCATAGCACCCCGCCCACAGAGCAAAACTGACTATGGCTATTAGCTGCTGGCTGTTGCAATTATAGAGGGGACACAAACAAGCAGGCCCAAAGAGCCCAGACAGAGGCAGCTACGAGCAGGATACATCCCAAAGGCCTGTGCCACACCCTCGGCACCCACCGGAAGTGTCTGTGTTGCTTGGAGATGTGCAAGGCCTAAATCTGCCAGCATGCACTGGTAGTGACCTTGGGATGCTTCCAACTTACCCCTGTGAGACACCATGACCACTGCGCACAGCATCTTTCAAGTTGAACCACGTTACAGACAACCATGAGGTTCAAGAACGCACCGCATGCGTGACACTGTGCCATCTTACGCATGTCGCCCAAAAACTAAAGTTGAACTAAAGCTGCTATCGCTGAGGTGAAAAAGCCACAAGGCGATACCAACAGCTACTAGTTCCACAAGCGAACTATTACTGCTGCGCGGCTGGCACTTTGATAACTGCCCCTTGCAGAAATCCACACTCCATTTTTCAAACCGTCTTCAAACGCAAGAACTTTAACTTGACTGTCCCAAAGAAATCTCCACGAGAACACGTAGGAGAATGGCCTTTAACAGCTAGCCAACCTTGAGGCCATTAATTACCTAAAACAGAATCCCAAATCCCAAAGCATTTGTCCAGCCAATCCACCCTAGACCAACAAAGGGTCTACTCTCCAAATGCGCCTGCATGATTTTCCTGTACCTCCCAAATTATCGATCCGTATACAAACTATAAAACCTGAATAGATATTCCATACAGCCATGCCTAGGGCTTGTATTGATCAAAAATCACTCCTACAAACATGTTCTATATGGTTTAGGGTGTACAAGGCTGGGCCAACCTTAGGATCCATTATCATCCTACAAAAGCCCTACAAATCCCAGAGCCCAGCGACACTCCATTTCAGCCCCAAGCCTTCAACTTTTAAGCCACACACCCCAAAGTCCTGACATTTGAAAGCCTCCATATCCCAAGTAGGTTGCATCCACTCAGCTTAGAGTAAAGGAAATAAATTCTAGCCCAAGTGGCATGCTAACGGATCTGCCACCGAGACATCGACCTGTACCCCTGGCCAGGTCCAACCAACCTGCCCGAGCTTTCGGACTTCGGGGGATACACTGAGAGGTATACGACATAGACGTTAGGATTTGGTGATTTGGTCAGAGCTTAATGCTTGGGAAGCCCGGCGTGGTTGAAGGCTTGGCTCTTGTATTATATAGCACAGACCCAGCCATCATCAGCCATGGAGAAAGAACCCCACCTCGCCAGTCTCTCGAAGTCTTGCATGCTGTAAAACCCAAGTTTCTGCAGAAGTCTTGAGCTTATGAGCATCTAAGTTTCCCACAAAAATGCAAAGGATAACAGCCCTGAACATGTCACAGTGTCACCGTGGTACCGTGGGAACTGCCCCCGCGCCAACGTCGAGGATGCTAAGCTTCTCAGGGCTTCTAATGTCAATCCAGCGCGGCCTCGTCTTGGGTTGGTGCTTATCCCATGGCCGAGCTGTCAATGGCCGTGGTCTTAAAGTTGTAGAGATTATAGGGATACTGACTCTGACTGACAAACTGAATATATAGTCGACTTTGAACAACACCTAGGCCCTTGTTGGGTGCACGGAGTGCGGGAGGACTGCAGGCTTGCAATGGGCTTGAGTAATGTCTGGTAGTTTAGAGGTTGGCGGACTCAAACTAATGGCTGGCAGGTTGAACCGTTTCGGTACAAGAGAGGTATGCTAAGAGAACAAAACGAATTTCTTACATGCACTGGAGCAAGATGGAGCAAGAACTGTGACGTCGAAACCTGCTCGGCAAAAGTTCGGAGGTTGTCATTCCTCTCGCTGAAGGCCATAAGTAAGTTGTATAAAGCAACAAGGCAACTGTCAGGCTGAATATGGCTCCGTGTCATCTTCGCATTTGTCACCATGTCCAACACTTCTCACCCTGCGCGTTGAACGGATGAGTTTTCATTACTTGTACACAGAGAAATGTGGACTCTGCGTGTCCACCGCTGTGCTAGTGAATACTCAGGACAATTTGATGCCAGCTACCATACAACTCAAGCTTGCTCGAGGAGCCAGAATCCTCTGATGAGGTACTCCAGCAACCTACATCGCTAATGGCAACCAAGGGGCCGTGTAGTCAGCTGCTTCAGTTTCTCGTCAAGACTTCGGCCAAGCAAATCGTCGATATCCTTACTTCTGCGGAAGTCCATCTGTCATAAGTGTCGAAGAGTCAATGCAGTCCGCTAACGCAACGATCGCAGCAAAACGCTCTGCCTGAGGTGATCATGGGGGAAGGTAGGCTCAATTGAGGTTGCTTCCTTATGAGATTGATTGACCTGGCTTCTGGGTTAAACCGTACGCCCTGCGTTCCAGTACCCTATGCTTCCAAACACACATGTAAGGTCATATATGCTGCATAAGCCCCATGTAGAAACAAACCACAAACCACGGCAAACCGCCCTTCGCACTTTTCAATTGAAGCAACGAAGTCGCTGCTTGCGAGAGTTCCTGCAGCCAGTAGAACCAGAACATCAACTGCTGCCATACCTTAGCTGGGCCAGTGGTGGAATGCAGGGAAAACGTCATCCGTGCCATTACCTGGATTGCTTCGCCCAAGTTCTGGAAATGTCTGAGCCCAAACCTCCGCCCGCATCACTCACGCTTCAACAGAAGCTTAATTACAATCCATCGTCAAGACCACAACCCTTGACCCTGCCACAAAAACAGCTCTTCATTGAACAGCCTTCAGTGGGCCTATAGGGCAGGAGGGAAACTGCTGCGGGTAATTATTGTGAGCTTCCATGAATCCGCCTGATTGCCAAGTCCTTGCATTTACAAACCCTCAACACCCAAACTGCACCTCCAAGACTCCCAGAACCCATCTGTTTTCATGGTGTGTCTAAGAAACACGGCGTGTAGCCTTAGACTCGAAACAACTCTAATCCTGAGCCATGAAACCCAAACCCTAAATTCCAATCCACAAACCACCATGTACCCTAATCTCCTAACCCTACACTTACCACCAATCCATCAATCCTAATCCCTATACCCTTCCTAAACTCTTGAGATGTAGCTACGCCATCCGACCATTCCTGTGGCTTATCGCGGAAGACGTCCTCGGTTCTTCGGTCTGTTGGTTCACTGTGTGGATGGAGGAAGTCTTGCACCACCTCATATCTAAGTATATGATATACTGTTGCTATTACGGTGTCGTTTGGATCCTAAGTCCCAAGTGGGGCAAGATCGCTTCCATCCGCTGTAGCAGAAAGCCTAGAACAACAGTGGTATTCAGTCGACTCATGCCAAGACTTTGGGGTGCGTCTCTGCTGCTCTCGAAAATGAACTTTACTGATTTGAGAAAAACTTATTTTGCTGCACAATCTAGGCTCAGGGCTTGAACTCAAATGCGAAACACCTCCGTTGTGTCAAATAATACCTAGTATCCGCGTGGCGGCATTGCTGCTGCCAGCCATGCTGGAGTCGCAAATTGAAGTACAGGACCTCCCAGGGCATGGTCTATGTAGAGTATAAGGCTCAAGAATCAGAATCAGATCTTGTGCCTATTACGAATAATAGGCTCCCATTGCGAGAATGATCCAATTTGGGTTCACGGGCTTCATGCCTAAGATTTCATGTCTGAGGCTGTGCTGTCCTAAACAAGCTCCAAGAACTCTTTATTCTGTCTAAGATAGACTGATCAAGGCCCTCTTAGCCGATCTGGAGGCTGAGGCAAACCCGGAGCCGTGATGGAGGCATCATAGTCTTTGCAGGCTGAA